AAAGAGCAAGATATGAAGCATATCTTCTAATTTCTGTAGTGTTCTTTCATCTCGCTGTGATAAAGGAGAGTAAAGCACTCAATGAAATATGGGTTATTGAGTGACAAGAAATCATCAATATACCTGACAATTAAAAAAACTTTGCAGGATGCTTTTTCTTTTTCTTTTTTCATTTTCTTTGCAAAGACGCTATGAATTCTGCTTCATTTGAGTAGTACCCATTAGAATACCGACCGACTTTCCCTTGAAATACATATTTACCAAACTCAACAAATATCTTGTAGTAAAAAGTCCCGTTTTTTTTTTATATAATATTCGGTGTCATTGTTTGTAGAATAGTGTGGTTTTTTCACAATGTAAGCTTTTCTTGCCCTAAAACAGGGAACTTTTTATCCACGATTCCCAAATTTTGTAGAAAAAAAAACATTGTTTAATGAGAAGATGTGGGCAATATTTCAATTGAGCATGGGGAATACTTTTAGAGCGTAGAAAATTTAAATGTTTTGGAGAAGATCTTAATGTTTTTTTTATAATCCACATATGATTTACACCGCCAGTTGAATATACCTCAACACAATATTTCTGAAGGTCATCCTTACTATAGAAATAATGGTAGTAATTACTTTAAAAAAATGTTTAGTCGAACGTCTTGGCTATTTATCGTTCTTTATAAGCATTTTGTGAAGTTTAGGTATTCAGTATAAAGAAAGTATAAATAGAGGGGAAAATGGAAAAGTAATACAGTTCAGGTTGAAGCCTATATCACTCTGATCAGTCTCAATGTGAAGCATTTTGAACTCGTTCGCTGCGCTCAATCGTTAAAAAGCTTCATATTGTGACTTGCAGCTGATTTTTTTTATCAATATGCAAAAAACTGATGATCAGCACTTTTTTTTCTATAATATCTGTATTACAGATTTTAAAAAAAGATACAAGTAAAGTAAATGGTAGGTTTAAAAAAACATGTTGGACAACAATGTAAAACTAACTATTATATATCGTATAGTGTTCCTTGTATCATATAACTACGTAATTTATCATTTTTATACAATTGGTAGTTAAAGTATTTCATTAATTGAATCTGAGAACACAGATTTATAGTACATAAATTGGCAGTCTGCAAACGACAGGTTTAGTATTTGTAGTTTCATATCCTTTTTCAAAATTTACAATGCCCATGTGGAGCAGGATCTGCCTACCCTTCCGGAACACCTGAGATCACCCCCGATTTTTTTGGGGGGATTCGTGTTGCTCAGTTATTGGTTTTCTATGTTGTGTTTTGTGTACTGTTGTTTGTCTGTTTGTCTTTTTCTTTTTTTAGCCATGGCGTTGTCCGTTTATTTTCGACTTATGAGATTGAATGCCCCTTTGGTATCGTATTTGAAATGACTTTACAACTGAAATTTGTTGTTTTTCCATGAAGTGCGCGGTATTAATGCGCAAAAAATGATAGCTCACATGTAAATGCGCAAAAAATGATAGCTCACATGTAAATGTATCCGCATAGGATAACATGATCTTGCAGATTGTGTCCGTGTTGGCTTACACATTAGCGTTTGGATGATGTCTATTGACCCAACATCTTGTTATTACAGCATTATCTTCGTGTCATTCGTCATATACACGGGTCCTTCCTTTCTGTATTCTTTAATTTCTATGTCATTTTTCTCTATTCTTTAATTTCTATGTCATTTTTCTCTATTCTTTATATATTTTGCCCATTATGCTCTAGTCTTTATATTCTAGCACCCTGTTATGCTCTATTCTTTATATTCTAGCATCCCATTATGCTCTATTCTTTATATTCTAGCACGCCATTATGCTCTATTCTTTATATTCTAGCACCCCATTATGCTCTATTCTTTATATTCCAGCACCCCATTATGCTCTATTCTTTATATTCTAGCACCCCATTATTTTCAATTCGTTATATTTAAGCACCCCATTATGCTCTATTATTTAAATTCCAGCACCCCATTATGCTCTTTTCTTTATATTCTAGCACCCCATTATGCTCTATTCCTTGTATTCTAGCACCCCATTATTCTCTATTATTTATATTCTAGCACCCCATTATGCTCTATTCTTTATATTCTAGCACCCCATTATGCTCTATTCTTTATATTCTAGCACCCCGTTATGCTCTATTCTTTATATTCTAGCACCCCATTATGCTCTATTCTTTATATTCTAGCATCCATTATGCTCTATTCTTTATATTCTAGCACCCCATTATTCTCTATTCTTTATATTCTAGCACCCCATTATGCTCTATTCTTTATATTCTAGCACCCCATTATGCTCTTTTCTTTATATTCCAGCACCCCATTATGCTCTATTCTTTATATTCTAGCACCCCATTATTTTCTATTCTTTATATTTAAGCACCCCATTATGGTCTATTTTTTATATTCCAGCACCCCATTATGCTCTTTTCTTTATATTCTAGCACCCCATTTTGCTCTATTCTTTATATTGTAGCACCCCATTATGCTCTATTCCTTATATTCTAGCACCCCATTATTCTCTATTCTTTATATTCTAGCACCTCATTATGCTCTATTTTTTATATTCCAGCACCCCATTATTCTCTATTCTTTATATTCTAGCACCCCATTATGCTCTATTCTATATATTCTAGCACCCCATTATGCTCTATTCTTTATATTCCAGCACCCCATTATTCTCTATTCTTTATATTCTAGCACACCATTATGCGCTGTTCTTTATATTCTAGCACCTCATTATGCTCTATTCTTTATATTCTAGCACCCCATTATGCTCTATTCTATATATTCTAGCACCCCATTATGCTCTATTTTTTTTTGTCCTATTTTTCTTTATTTCTTTAAATTTTGTTCCATTTTTCTGTAGATTTGGCCCATCATTTTCTACTGTAAACCCCATCCAGATCTTCATTTACGTTCGAGGCCAAACGATTAAAGCCAAAAACATAAAAGCATTCATGAGTAAGAATCATCCTCGAATTCAACTGTCAACAGTAGCAAAATCACTAGCGCCAAGAAAATAAGATGTCTTGCTATTACAACTAAATTGATATTACTGTTCATCATTATATGCATTTATACACATGTATATAAACCATTTATATTTGGGCGTTCAATGCTCTTCAACTTCATACTTTTTTACTTTTATATTCGAACGTCACTGATGAGCCTTTTGTGGACGAAACGCGCGTCTGCGCGTACAAAACTTTAATCGATGATGAGTTTATTGATGAAACATGTCTTAAATCAAGTCAGCAACATCAGTAAGAATTTACTTAGAAAAGAATTAATGTTTGAACTTGTGCAAAGAATAAACCTTCCACAATTAGTGTCAAGAAATGTTTGAAATTTGGTAGTCAACATAACATTTTTTTTTACATTTTCTGAACATTCATTCGTTCACATTTGTATATTGTCTAAGGAACAACATTAGTTGTGAATTAAACTATCATTTAGACCTAGTCTACCTTAAAATTATCTAATGGTATCAATACAAGGTGATTTATGTTATCCAATAAACTCCTACATCAAAATATTGTTCAGAGGTGGCTTTGCAAAAGACAAATTACAAAGAAAAAACATTACTACAAAAACTAGTCAATCTAGGGTATTCAATTATTCAAAGAGTTTTCAAAAACATTTGTGTAAATTTTTATTTATGGAAGCAGCGATCATGTATATTGATGAATTGTTGAAACTTTCGGCACCATTCTAAAATGAAGCAATCAAAGCACTAATTGGTCACATTTGTATGGTCTTTATATGATACATATCGGATGAATAAAGGTGTGTGTTTTACTTCTGATAACAGCAGTCATGTTAATTATCTCTGAGAACTATAATACTCTAAGGGTTGTTTAAACTTGGCGTAAGGATTTCAAAGGAAACTATTTTTGGAAGGAACAAATGGCGATCGACCAAGGACGCAATAAGGATTGATGGTGAAAACACAATGGCCGACACAAATGGATTTTGATAAAATTTTTAGTATGGTATTTATTAATTGGTCTGAAGTTTGTTTCTGGAATCAAGAGTTGCATTGTGGACGTACTGCAATGAAATATTGTCAATAACAATAGCGTTCACCACATCTAAAATATATCGAAGGTGATTTAGAGTTTGTCGTACTTTATAGATAAATGCATTTTATTGAAGACTATTTTGGTTGGGTTTTTTTTTGTGTTGTTGGTGTTGTTGGGAAACTGTCTCTTTAACGTTTATCTTACATCTCTTTTAATGTTAAGTCCGTCATTATTCGACAATTGTAGGATCTGCTTATCCTTCAGGAGCACCTGATTTCACCCCAGTTTTCGATGGGGTTCGTGTTGCTCAGTCTTTAGTTTTTTATGTTGTGTTTTGTATTCTGTTGTTTGTCTTTTTGGTCGTTTTTTCGTTTTTTCTGCCATGGCATTGTCGGCTCGTTTTCGACTTATAAGATTGATTATCCCATTGATATCTTTCGTCTCTCTTTTTTGTCACGGAAATACAAAACTTCAAGAAGCCAACTTTAATTTAATGCGCTGTATATTAATATTTCCAAAGTTTCTTTCTAGTCGACGTTGGATTTATTTAAACCAAATATAGAAATACGAACAGTTTTAGAAAAAAGGGAAGATACCAAATGTACTATCAGAAATCAAAAGTCGAAGAAAAACCTACAACACCATGACAACAAACAAAAACGACGAAAAGACATACAAAACACTGCATAGAAAACTAAAGAATGAGTTGCACACACACACAGTCATAAACCGGGAGTGATCTCGTGTGCTCTTGGAAGTAATAAATCTAATATAACAACAAAAAGGACACTCACTGTATTTGGAAAACCCGTGTAATTCCGTGAGGATATTCTTGCTTCTATTATTTAACACAGGTTACCTTTTGTGCCAACTAAAAATTTCTCAAGTATCCATTTCAATTCACAAAATATTAAATAGTGATAAAGTGAACTAGAATTTTACAAAGTAAAACAAAGAAGTGAACAATACAAGTATTTTATCATTTAATAAAACCATTGTTACATGCAATGAACTTTGAGCAAGTTCTCTTAAGTTATTAAAGATCTTGGGACAATATATGATACAATGTACACAAATGATGACTCAGCTGTAAATATAATGCATTTAACTGAAATCTTCAATTGAGAAAAAAACCTAAATAAACACAATGAAAAAATAATTTACCCTTTAAATAAGTTATTACCCTGATTAACCAAAATAATATAAGTTCATTCAGTTATACTAAAGCAAACACAATTATGCCATCTACATTAAAAGATAATTCGTCCGCTGGGATCTCTCTAAATCAATTTTCATTTTGCAATTTTCTGGAGAGATAGGTTGGTTTATCATTTTTCACACTCGCATCCATTCATTTAAACATAATATTGAAAAAACATTTATTCAAAAGTGCAAAAACAGTTAAGATTGGAAACTTGCATAAATAGGAAAATAGTCATTTATTTCTTAAAACTCGAAAAATGGAAAGTCGGGACTGCACAAATGTCCCCGCCTGTTGCCAAATAAAATTTTAATTGATTTTTTAAAATGTTTACATGTATACTGTTTTGATGAAAGACATCAGAATCGTGACACAATCTTGGTGTGACAGATCAGACTACAATACCCAAGCTACTGTGAGGCGCAGGCATATAAATATATGTAGCTTCAGGGTGAAGAAATTTCAACAATTTACAAAAATAAATATATTTGAGCAGGAAAAAGCAATGTAGAATAAAATCTTTGAAAGTTCACAATGTATTAAAATGTTCGGGCATCAAGGCGCAGTTTCACAAAACTGCTATCAAGTTAAACTAAAATACAAGCACTAAAATGATATGTAAATCTATTTTGTAGTTCAAAATTTGAACAATTGTTGTAATTGAATACAACTGCATTTCAATCAGACATAGTGCACCAACTACAACTCGAAGACCTTTGACCTCGGATTTGATTGGTAACATGACGTTTCAGGTCATGATCCAAAATCTTGAAGGTACAGTCAAGATATTTTGTAACCTAGATTTGAGATAAACAATGTTCCGTTTTAACATTAAGATAATTTGTACCAATTTAAAATAATTGGCATCCGTAAGATATTTTGTCTGTTTTAAAATAAATCATTGTACACCAAGGTCAATGATATATAGATACAAGTTATATACTTGAAACTATTTAAACATCTCGAAAGAAAAAAGTGAAATACATATCTAGTCTTTTTCAAGTTTTGACATTTATATAAAAAAAAAACATTTCAGATAACTATATTGATCATAATAACGATGAAAATAATTTGTTTAAGTAAAATTACTAAATTGTCAAATTACCGTCTTAAAATATTATTTTTGAATTTCGATAACAGTTTCCTCTTTAATCATACGCTTCGTGAATCAGGATAGAGACAGTTGGCTTGATGGCATAATAATTGGTCAATCCAAACGACATTCGAATCATTTTCTTTGATCTTCAACGCGTTATATAATGGCGTTCTACATTTTAGAAGTTGTCTTTCTTTTACGTCAATTGCATTATAAATACTTCAAAATTGGACAGATGTATATTTTTATTTAATGCTGATTTAAATTGCTCTTGGATATATTAAGCACTAATTACCACTCATGGGTATACAATGGTCATTCCACGCGCCAAGGTAATGGGTCATTAGATTATCAGTTTAAATTTATAAAATAATGGAATTTACAACCATCCTTCGGCAAAAACGCATGCGATACGATCTGAAATGTCTTTATACAAATATGTCCAACCTAACAAAATTATTAATGTTAAATTTTTCACACCTTTGTAATGAAATATTAAGTTTCAACTTAAGGCAATAATCGAATGCACAGCCACTAGAGGAAAAATACATTATGTTATCGATTAACCGTTGTGAATTTTACAGGGAAATATAAATCTATTTATTCTATATTTTACACAAATGTCCAATAAAATATTGAACTTCAAAAGCAGAATATTGTATTTACTATTTGAAAAGTACAATTCACCTGTGACCTAATTTAAAATGTGAATATAATTTGGTTGGCGTTGATGGTTTCAATTAGCTTTTCATGTTTTCTCCTACTGGGTCTTCTGAAAACATTCTCTCAATCAAAAACAATATGGAAATCGATTACCAAGCAATCACAATAATCACCTTGAAATTGACACATCCCGCTATGAAAGTGACATATCCTGCAGAGAACGTCAAGCTTAATTCCCATTCGTTTACAAATGTATATTTTTGAGACTGGCTAAGAACCGATTATTCGATGTATGGTTGTCAACCCATTCCCAAATCATAAAATAACTCTTTAATTGGTTTCAGTCGATAATGGCGATTGGTTATTGAAGCCAATACATTAATCGAACAAAGTCAATTCCAGGTGAAAAAAAAGTTATTATGACTAGTAGTTAAAAATGATCCGAAGCGATAAATTTCAAAGGCATGGTGCATGAAAACCTATGATCACAAAACGGTTTTGCATTTTTGTGTTTACAGACACGGTGAAAAACAAATACATAGACACCACAATGTCGAGATAAGGCACATGCATTGCTTTATGTAAATCTTAAATGTATTTTGAAGTCAGAATTTTGAAAAATAAGCTAACATTACAAGCAACAAATGGTCAGATGGTACTGATTAAAAAATATCACGATGAAAACAATAATTTACAATGCTTTAGGAAGACAGAAAACAATTTACTCTTTTCCAATCTTTGAGATAAGTCTTCATGAAATATTACAAATCTATTCAGTTTCAATTACTGTACCCACTTATCTGATTCCGGGGGCACGCAATTAAGACATTATCATCTCCTAGAACAGATAAATAAATGTCGCTAGTGTTGACTTTTCTTTTCTGACTGACTCATTCAGAAAAAAAACCTATTTGACAAATGTAAATAATATAAATCAGTTTTGTCATCATGTAGAAAATGTAAGTGTTGATTATTATATCATAGAATTTTACAAAAACACATTCAAAGCCATTCTTCACACTTGAGAAAACAATTATTGTCAAAATACACTTTTACCCGTAAATTACACTGTTTCATTTCTCGTTCCAGGGTAATAACAATTACTGTTACTCTTTATAGATGAGTTAATTTAGGTACGTAATCATACTGTCCCTGAGAATATGAGTTTATGCTATTAGAACACGGAATATGGGACGGATACATCTGTCCGTACGGGTCATCCATACTGGGCATTTCATGATATAATTGTCCATTGTTCATATAATGACCGTTGTAGCCACCTCCATGATTAGGTTGTTGTGCGCCCATTGTCATATACATTTGTGACGGATGTGAAGTCGCCATTGATGAGTTTGAATTAATTCCGGGTGACAAAGATGGCTTCATAGTCGGTGAATGAGTGTTGGATTGACCAAACTGCTGAAAATGATGTTCATTATCATTAAAATGACCTCTCATTTGATCCAAGTTCATTTGAGGACTAGGTCCTTGTGGTGACCTTTCGTGAGGTCGCTGTTGAGGGCCGAGATTAGTTAATTGTGCGGAATTGTGTGATAGACTGTCCGGTGTTAGTTTTCCTCCACAGTCGCTCCCCATTCCTTCTGGACCCATAGATCCCTGACTATCACTTTCTGATCCTGATATATTACCATCCTTTTTATCAGAACCTTTATGTCTCTGTTCCTTTTTGAATTTCATTCGTCTATTTTGAAACCAAATCTTAATTTGTCTTTCGGTCAAGTTTAACAAGGCAGCCATTTCTATCCTTCGTGGACGGCATAAGTAACGGTTAAAATGGAACTCCTTTTCCAGTTCAACAAGCTGGGCACTTGTGTAAGCTGTGCGTGCTCGTTTTGTAGGCTCTAAAATACAAATAATATAATTTTTGTATGCAAATTTTTATCATAATTTAAGGAGAACTAGTTGGAATTGTTATAGATAGAAACTTAAAACTAGTGAATACCTACATTTTGTTTTTTTAAGATTGTTTCTGAATTAATAGTTTATTTAGTTAGGTATTAAGAAATATGACTGTTTTGTTGTAAAGAGTTCTGATTGATTTCACAACCTACTTTTGTACATCTAACAAAATATAAAATAAAAGAATTTTCTTTAAGTCGCTAAGTTTATGAATTGAACTGGAAAAATATTTAACATGCATACAGATGCTCTTTTGATAAAAACGATTTTTAAAATGACGAATGAATAAATTTATTGTATTTACATTTACAGTTTTTGCAACAACAAAACATAAATTCCAACACATTTTTATGACTTTAAAACTTGTGAAATCTTTTGAGAGTATATCTGCCATTAATTACAATTAATAGAAGAAAGATTAAATAACAAGTGAATTTTCAAAAATTAAAAACATAAATTAATTGTAAATTTCCTATTTTTCGACAGGCGCGACTTGTATATTTTCATAAAGAAAATATAAATGAAAGGATTTTTAAATTGTATCATACACAGATGGCAAACAGATTAATTTTAGTTAGAAGGCATTAAAAGGGATATTTGTTTCGTTACTTTTTTACTTTTCAAGGCGAAGCAGTTGCACATTCAATAATCATATTGCATCATAATATTAACTTTCAATTATTTTAAACCTTACTGCATAGAGAAAATGAGACAACTATTTTACCCTTATATTTGAAATATTTTAAAACTAAAACTTAAAAACAATTCAGAATCAAGTCTAATAAGTGTTTTTCATTTCTTCGTTTTACATTTTTTCATATATATGTAATTATAAAAAAAAATGATTATTTCGAATAATACCTTATGATTTTAATGCTTGAATGAAACAAGAATTTTCTTATCTAACCTCTTCGAATATTAAAGATAAGAAAAAAAAATCAAGATATCGTAACAATAAGTGTATATCATCTTCACAGAGGAAAACGGCATAAAATTACACATATTTTTGCCAGAAAATAATAATAATTTCATTTAAGATCGTCGATAAACGAAATATACAAGATGGAAACCACAGAAGGAAATTAATAAGTTTAACAGTTTTAAAGTATAATAGTCTAATGAAAATTAAATTTATTAATAAAAAAAAATGTGTTTTTATACAATGTTAAGTACTTCTCCATATTGATTTTGAATCATTTAACTATAATAAATTCCAGGATAAACCCTGTCCTATTTGACATATTTATATACAAAACAAGGGATATAAAAACCTACTTATACCAACATTTCTTATATAAATATGATAACCGATGTTTACTGCGTGATTCGCAACTTAGAGGAAGCTGTTATTAATAAATTATAAAGACATGGACAAAAACGTCAAAAGTTCACAGAACACATTAGAATAAAGAATTCACAATAACAAATTATAACATTTTAACTTTTTCAAGAAGAAATAAAATCAAAAAAAGACTTATAAGTTGTTTAGGCTATTGTTAAAACTATTTGCAAAAATATATCGAATACACTTAATACAAATTATAATTATGAATTATTTTTTTTAATTTTTAAATTTACAAGTGTATCACAAATTTACAAAGCAAAATTTAATAGCATATGAAATCAGATAAAATGAAATAACGTATGTTAACACATTTATTTAGTTGTTTGGAAATGTCGAATTTTGAAAAAATAAGATGTTTCATGTTTACAACTTTTACCTGATTATAAGAAGCAAATTCCTGTACATTTTCCAAAATCTCTAGAAAGACTCGTTTACGGCTAATTGAATTAAATGAATTATAACAGTAATGAAAACGGCTCACCTTTCTTGTTAAAAATCAGACATGATGGAAAATTGAATTATCGCATCATGTAGTTGCAAAAATAAGCAAAAATTATCCCGATTCAATTCCCAAAAGTACAGTAAATTAATGATGAACTCATTGATTAGCTCTGCTTAATGTCTGTCAACAAACAAACGTAAATTGGTGAGTGTTTTATTCGAAACTGCACACATCATTACAAATTTGACGCAGATCTTTTTTTATGTTTGATGGGTCATTTATCACAGTAATCAAATAAAACACTTACCTGACATAGTCTGTTGGTTTGATGCAGTCGTCTGCTGGGTTTGAGCAGGTTGTGAGGGTGTCGGTTGCTGCTGTTGTTGCTGTTGCTGATGGTTCTGGCGTTGCTTAGAATTTTGCCTGCTTTCTGTCATCCAAGGAAATATTTTGCCCGGTTTTGAAGAGGAATGGTTCGCAGGTGAATTTCCTGGTGGAATATTCTGATTTTGATAATATAAGTTTCCATAATCCTCATTGCATGGTGGATTTTTGAATTCAGTTCCACTTGTCGGAATAAAGTCATTTTGGATTCCACACGATCCGGGTGGATAATATTCCCCACCGGTTGGGGATGGGGCAGTATGTCCAAACGATGGTTCGTATGCATATCCATTATCCCCAGGAAAATAATGTGGAAAATTTTGTGGCTGATTATAATAAGCTGTCTTATGCATCTCGGCGTTTGAGAAATTTATTGCATTGCCTCTAACCGACATGTTATGATACCACAAATCATTTCTACAATCATCTGTTTGATGAGTCATGTGACAACTAATCTGACCAATCAATTGTCAGCTTACTTCTCTGTTAAAATTGATGATCTGAAAAATAGAAATAAAAACATACTGGAAACTGAGTGTTATAGTATTGTTGTTTAAATTCAAGGCAATAAAATTTCAATCAATTGTTGACCTTCTCATATTTTTCACATAAATTATCTTTAGTTTGACAAACGATCAGGTTATGTTCATTCATACCTTTCAAGTGGGTATTCTACGCGATGTCCAAGATTATATAACTCACAACGTAAACATAGACTATTGGACCTAAACGGAGCCCAACATTTAAATAAGAACTCTACATCAAATCAACCGCTTTCTATATCAACAGGATATAGTTAGATAACTCTGATTTGTTTCTTTTAAATTAGAAAATTGGATTTCGATTAAACTTTGGTGTTTTGAGTTTTAACTATTTCAACATAGAAATTCATTTAAATTTAGAAAATAAGTCAGAATTTTTAAATGGTGAGTTTGTAAAAATTTAACTATAATACTTGACAGGAAAGGGCTTGATTCAGTGATCAAAGAAATTTTTTAAAAGTTTTCCTTTATACGTAAATAGTCTTTTATAAATGAATTTCGACTTATGCATTAAAATGACAGATTTTACCCTGGCACAATGAAATTAAACTTCGTTTGATGTTTCGTTTCACGAAATTAAAAAAGTTAACATTTGATACGGTAACTTTTATGTTTTCTTTTATTTGTATAAGTTGTATGCATGCATATAAATAATATATTTTCCAAGAATATACGTCGATTCATTTGTAAAAATTGTTAATATATCTTTGTCTCGCTGCTAAACAATCATAATTTAAATATTTAAAAGAATCTTTCGTCATAGTGCATTATAACTGAAAACTATTCAACGAAGTGAATTTGTTCTGTCAATTTAGCAATTACATGAAAAACCCATAAATAATTTTACAATTCCATTAGCTCATTGAAAGCATTTTCTCAGCAAGGCTCCATAGAGTGTGACAAAAGTCTATAGTACCACTGGGACTATACTTAGACTAAAAACATGTATACAAGAACTTTCAATCTATGGAAATGTGTTTTGGCTGCGGAAATGTCTCATATTCAAATTATAATCAACTGACCGATGACTAAGCCAAACAATAGACGTATCCATTTTACAAGCATTTCATAATTTCATCATAACCATAAAAATGTACGCTTTTAATTTTTCTGAGAAACATTTAAGAAAATATAGACGAGACACAATTTCCTCCTCCGAGATAATATTAACAAGTATATTCAAAATACACGAGATCAACGTCTTTCCTATAATTTGTGACATTATACTCAATGAGTTTTATGTGTTAAATTACTATTAAAACCTAATGCTTTTGTTGAAGAATTGTTTGTTACCAATTGAGCATGATCCGTCTCTGTTTCACGTATGTATATACCGAATAATTCAGTCGTAATATTACGCTGCTCTACGATGGCTACGTATAGGGGAGCGCCTAAATTATTCGGGTTACACCTGGTTTTAACGGTATTGTTTGAACATTAGAATGATTGCAATTAAAGTTTTGCCATAATATGATACTCATCATGTAATATGTTCTGTGTTTTATCTGTCAGCCGTTAGGTCCCTGTTTCATATGCTCTAAATGATTGGCTGTCTTTCACAACTACCGTAATACGTATATCCAATGTATACTTTTTTTTGTATACCTAAAAAGGTTTTATTACCTTTGAAATTTCTTTTTAAGTTAAAGATCAGTCCTAAAATTAAAAAAAAAAAATAGTCCTTTTTATATGCTCTAATTGGCTTTCCTTTCACAATCACCGTAACAGTTACAATTCAGTGTATACTTTTTTACATAAAAAGATTTTTTAAGCTTTGAAGTATATTTAAAGTTAAAGTGCCCAGCTAAATAAGCAGTCCTAAAATAAAATTAGAATGCCAGTAATTTGTGTGCTTCATTACATACAAAGATTTCAAAAAGATACACGGATATATACAAATATATTCCTGCAAATAAAACAAGTTCATTTAAATATATATATTTTTGACTTTCTTATTAGGTTAGCTAACAATGACCGACACGACCCAATAAAAACATTAATAAATTTTACATTAGTGTGTACTTTAAGAAGATTGTTGAGTAAGTCAATTTATTCTTATCAGCATTTAAACTAAAGTGACAATTCAACATTTTAAAAATAATGCTTGTTGCAAAAAACCCATAACGCAAAAGATGTATATTCTTTCAATTTAGAAAGAGGTCTCACGAATTTATTGAAGATTTTAAGTTAACAGTAAAACGTATTGCTGTTGTACTAAAATATAAATTGAATTATACCAATTACTTTTTGAAGACGAAGAATGTTATTTTTATTATATTTAATATAAGTACGTTAATTTAAATTCTTTAAACTAGAAAGCATAATTATTCTTCTGGCATAATGCTTAACACATAATGTTTGTATCCCTTAAAGTTGCAGACTGTACATACGTGAATCGCCAGTATAAGAATTCTAAAACATTCTAAATGCACATTTTAAAAACTTATTCCACATAAAACCTAAATTGACATCGACCTAGAAATACTAAAACATATTATTAAAGTTTTGAATTGATATCTAACTAGATTAATGCTCTAGATCAATATGCCAAAGGAGAAGGTCCGGTAAGGGCTAGTTTTGGCCTAAAATTCGAAGTACATCTAATGAAAGATTTTTGACATTTTTTAAACACCTAAGTGTCTACTTCAGTCGATTTAATTAGTTTGTGTAAAATATTTGAACTGATTTGGTCATAAAAGACGCTCAAATTCAAGCTTAAATATAAAAAATCTATCAAATATGCCATAAAACGTCACTTTTCAGATGGTTTTTGTCTAAAATGTAAGTGGCCGCATTCGTGTTCAGTCTCAACCTTTATATATGTTATGTATTATCATCTAATACAACATATATTTGAATATTAAGACTGAACACAAATGCGGCCACTTCCATTTTAGACAAAAACTGTCTTAAAATTAGCACAAATGCTAAAATTTTGAAGATTTCTGTAATATTGCATGAATTTATGATGCTAGTACCTGATGTATGTGCATTGTACAGTCAAAAACAACCCATATTTATGGAACAGAACTATTCTATACTTCCCAATAAATAGCTCAAAGTTTACATTTCAACAAATTTGTAAAAATGCTTTATTTTGGGGCCAAAATGGGGTCTTACCGGGCCTTCTCCTTTAGAAATAAGGAGATGTGGTATCATTGTCAATGAGACAACCCTCCAACATAGACCAAATGACATAGAAGTTGACACCTATGTGTTACCTACGTCCTTCAACTATGAGCAAAACCCATTACGCGTAGTTAGTTATAAAAGGCCCCGAAATTTAACGTGAAACTTTCCCTACTCTTCGATGTCAAACTTTGGTCGATGAATTGGTTTACTTAACGCCCAGTGGCAAATATTGCATTCATATTCAGGACGATAATACATCAACAATAAATCATTATAAAAAGTTTACATAAATTTATATACTAGTATAAAGTATTCTCTATAAAATGTGATATGACCGGGATTAAAGGTTAAACAATTATCACTTGAAAATGAGGGTATGAGGGTATGATGGATAGGGGGAATGTAATTGGAGTACAAAATATGTTCTAGAAACAGCAAATCCAATATTTTGATTGGTTGATTTCTGAATCTCCGTACGATACTTGTGCTCGAAATATTTATGACCGCAAGGCCAGTCTCAGACTTTTGGAAAAATGGATAATCGTAAGATAATTTTTCGTGAAATACTTGAAATAATCAAATATCCAACAAAAGCGCTTTTATTGCAGTTCTTGAGCTTGAGTATTTAAATTTTGGCATGTACAAAGCTGCTTCTGTCTTGTATGTTTTCAAAAACCTAGATTTCTCCAAAAATTCCATTTTGCAACACAAAGCAAGAAGTTTTCTTGATATAAACCACGTGAGCTGTTTACACACTCAAAGTCTAAAATTACTGAGATTACATAACTGTCTAATCAAAATATTTTTGTTTATAAATGTTTAAGATTTATTAAATGTACATGTATCTCAATTCCAGACGTGTATATACATGTATCTTGCTGTTCGCACTGAGCCAAGGCTCCGTGTTGAAGGCCGTACTTTGACCTATAATTGTTTACTTTTTACACATTGTGACTTGGATGGATAGTTGTCTCATTTGCACTCATACCACATCTTCTTATTTATATGTAAAACAAGACAGAAAACCCCATTTCATCCAGTAAACGAATATTCTTATCCTTGCGATATATTATACAGTCGCCTACATAAAAAAACATATTCCATCAGTTTTGAAACTAAGAAACCAGCGGAAGCGAATAATTCTAACTGTCAATGAAAACCTTTAATGGTTACAAATTTGTTCAGACGTTAAGCACAACTTACAATACCAATCTTCAATATATAACTATTACAAGAGATGTGTATATACCTATGCGACAGCAACCAAAGTATACAGAAAAGCAAGTTTTATAATGACGAGTTACGCTAGGACTGCAGAAATCCTAGTAGCTACCTGTATTCTTGCTATTGACATTTTATAAGGCTCCATTTGTGATTATTTACAATTTCTTAATACTTAAATCATTCTCGAATTTGTCGATCTGCGAAATAACACATTTTTAAGTACAAACTTATTTCTTCAGGGATAAGTTTCTGAATGTACATAGAACCAGTATAGTTAAACACACCACCACGTTTTCCAAAAGAAATCGTTCATGCAAAAATTTAATCTGCTAAATTACACCAGTATTTAATCAAATTAAAGATATCGTAAAGCATGTTACAAGACTGTATTTAACACAATATAGATGATTTGTAGCTTTTATCTGTCTGTGTCGATACATGAAGGTTACAAGGCAGTTTTGATCTTTCTTACAAATATACAATTCTACTTAATTGTAAAGATTGGTTAATTGATTGTTGTTTGCTTAATGTCCAGTGGCAACTATTCCGTGCATTTCAGGCCTAGAACAAATTAACAATAAATATAAAAGGTTGGTGCTGTG